ACCCTGCACGGCACTGCTGTCGCCGCCAAAATCAGCATGCCCCCAGGTCACAACAGACCCATCGCGCAGAATGGCAGCAAAAGCCCTTTCGGTAGATTGGATATGCTGCACATGCTGCAGACCTAGTAAAGCACAAATCTCGCCGCCAGAGTCAGGATCGCCCCAGGCCACCACAGACCCATCGCCCAGAAGGGCAGCAAATGCCATGTCAGTGGCTTGGATGTGCTGCACATCCTTCAGTTGACCCTGTACACCACTGCTGTCGCCTCCGCAGTTAGGCTCCTGAGGCTCGCCCCAGCCGCCCCAGGTCACAACAGACCCATCACTTAGGATGGCAGCAAACGCGCGATACGAGCCTTGGAGTTGTTGCACGCCCTTGAGCTCATCTTCCACACCCTTGCTGTCGCCTCCGAAGTCATTATCGCCCCAGGACACAACAGACCCGTCATCGCGCAGAATTGCAGCAAAGGCGCCATACGATGCTTGGATCTGCTGCACGTGCTTCAGCTGACCCTGCACAGCACTGCTGTCGCCACCAAAGTCAGCACTGCCCCAGGTCACAACAGAGCCATTGTCCAAGATGGCAGCAAAAGCCATGCTGCTAGACTGGATCTGCTTCACGTCCTTCAGCTGATCTTGAACCTCACTGCTGTCACCACCAAAGGCAACGTGGCCCCAGGTCACCACCGACCCATCGCCCAGAAGGGCAGCAAAAGCTGAGTCGGTTGATTGGATCTGCTGCACGTCCTTCAGCTGACCTTGCACAGCGCTGCTGTCAGCGCCATGGACAGCAGAGCCCCAGGTAACGACAGACCGGTCGCCAAGAATGGCAGCAAACGCCCTCTCATTGCCGCAAACGTCAACGCTGCGCATCTGCAAGGTCAGCGCATCGCCGTGTTGCAGGCCTGATTCCTCAAGCGTGGCTTCTCCATCCAGAACGCCTCCGGAGGAGTCCCAGAGATTGCCTCTGCCAACTGCCAGAGCCTCCTGCGCTCTCTTCCGCAAAGTTTCTACAGACTCGTCCAGCCCTGCTTCCAGTAAAACCGACCTGCCACTGAGCAGGCTCACCTCAATCGTGAGGGGCACCGGCATCAAACAAAGGGCTGAGGGGCTGCGATGTCTGGCTTTGAACTGCGGCGTCCTACACCCGACGGATCATGAGAGTGGCTCCGTGCAACCCCCTGAGGCCAGAAAATGCCTTTCAGCACGCATGCAAAAAGTCAAGCTCGGCCTAAACCCGAAACCCCTGAACCCTTAACCCGAAAACCGCCTATATCTCTCAACCCCCCGGCCTCTAAAGTGCGCGGTGGAGCCTGTGAATGCCCTGACATGCTGCAAACCTACCCCAGCGAAGCCCTCAACCGCCCACCACCCGGTGAAGATCCTAAAGCCATGACGTCCCCAGAGGTGGAGGCATTCGTGCCTTGGGCACCTTGAAGGACAAGGCCACGGGGAAGTCCTCCAGCTTTCCCAGCTCCTCCAGAGCCTTCAGATGGGGGTCTCCGAAGATCGGGTTACCTTGGTGGGGCTGTTTGGGGGTCTATTTTCGAGGTCCCCCATGTTCGTAAACCCCCTTATAGGCAACCCCCAGGTGGACTACAACATGGAATCATTGTAATGTAGTCTTTAAATGAATATATATATATATATGTATATCGAAGGCAATGTCTAAGAAGTAAGTATGGCCTCAATGTCATGGTATATAAATACCATGCCGAGACTCATGGAAGATAGCGATTCTGACAGCAAGCGTGGCTTCTCAGCGGCTTTCTTTGCGGGCTGGACATGCTGTGGGCTTGGCGTTTTGTTCTCCCGGGTGAGACAGCGGCTTGTTCGGAAGCTCTGCATGCGAGTTCCTGAGCATTCCCGCCTCCTCATGTTAAGCGCATGGAGCTCATGAACGAACCCATATGGTGACTTCTTGAGTACCCTAAATATTACGGCCCGCTGTATAATCAGGACCATCTCTACGAGAACTGGCCACATCAGCTCCTGCGCTGGAGTTTTTAGGGCCCAACTTGAGACCACTGGAAGCCATGAGAGCCCAATCTCAGGGCACAGGCTCCAGCGCAGGAGGCTAGGAAGCTGTGACTCACGCGCAGAAACGGCGAACACACAGGCACAGGTGCGAGGTGACGAGGTGCTGGGTGCAGGGTTTAGGGTTTAGGGTTTAGGGTTTAGGGTTTAGGGTGATGGTCCTCCGGTGGTTCAGAAGGCTCCATCCTGAGATCGTCAGTCGATGTTGTCAAGGCCGATTTTTAGCCATCCTCACACATCGTTGAAAATAATACAGATGCTTCGTCATGGGAACGGGGGAACGGATCTGGGATGCTCATAGCAGCCCCATAAGCAAGCTGACAAATGGCCCTTAAACTCCAGAAGCTGCCATGAGCTCAAATCCCCCATGCCCAAGAAACTGAACATCAGTAAACATGAAACATGAGTGCGGCGCTGTTCTCTGAAACCTGCAGGGCAGGGTGGGGGGGGGAGTGTAACTTTTGGAAAACACCCTCCATAACCCCAAACCCCAAACCCCAAACCCCAAACCCTAAACCCTAAACCCTAAATCCTAAACCCTAAGCCCTAATCAATCTTCTCGGATGTCGACTCCTACACATAGGCTAAGTGCGCATCCAAACCTGAAACCCATAATGTAGAGGTCGGAATCACTACCATAGTATTCCCTAATTGGCCCTATATGGTTATACTATAAAAAAACCCCAAAACCTTATTCTAATCATTGAGGCCCCTATAGTACACATCTGAAACACATCATAGCGCTCAACAGAAGTAGAAAAAAGGCAGATTTTTAGAGCTGGATCTGCACTACCGAATCCTCTTGCGCTTCATTGGGGTCCCTAAAGCCGATAAACCCTACTGGTACCTGAATCTAGCCGAATTTACCATAGAGTTAGGGCAATATATCAGAAAAGTTATGGTAACTTCATTCCCTCATCCGCTGAGGGGACTGGGGGGCCTCTAAACATCAAATTGTTGACCGGTTTTTCTAGAGATCAGGACCCGCAGAAAATTAACATGTGTTCGAAATCCCTAAACCCTAAACCCTAAACCCTAAACCCTAAACCCTAAACCCCTAGGCCCCCAAGCCCTACCATGCAGCTCCAGCGAATGGGCCCCCGGGCTTCGGGATCGAGCGTCTTTTTATGTTGGTTGAGGGGTTTAGGGTTTAGGGTTTAGGGTTTGGGGTTTAGGGTTTAGGGTTTAGGGTTAGGGACATGTCAAGGTTGGCATCGCTCAGGGCCTTGATGGGTGTTCTCGCAGACTCTTGGAGAGCCTCGCAATCAACACCGAAGTTCTTTTCTCCCGCCGGGCTGACACGGAGGAAGCGGGGTTAAGGGTTTTTGGGGTTGCGGGCTTAGGCTAGAATCAAGAGTAACCTAGGAACATAAAAGGGCGCCCGTGTTGGGTTTAAAGGGGCTTCTAAGGGAGCCTAGAGGGTTTCGGGCTCTGCAAGGGCGGCGCTCGGCTGGCCCGATCACCGAGGCCCGGCGACTGGAAAAACGGCCTCACTTTGCCTCACCTGGAGACGTGGACTTAGGGCTTAGGGTTGAGGGTTTAGGGTTTGTAGGGTTTGTAGGGTTTAGGGTTTAGGGTTTAGGGTTCAGGGTTTAGAGACTTGGCTGCACTTAGCAGGGTAGCTATAAATTATACTTTTAGCTGCCTTATTAAGAATCCCAATAAACCCCCAAAAGGCTAAGGATCTAAAGTTACAGTAAAGCACCACAGAGAGCTGAGAGGGCGAAAGCGCAGACATGGTTTTTGAGGGCCGCTTCCGGCTTAGAGGGTTCAGGGTTTAGGGTTTAGGGTTTGGGGTTTGGTGTTTTGGGGTTTTGGGGTTTACGGTTTAGGGTTTGGGGTTTGGGGTAAGCTTCTCCATAGGCTCCATAGAGTTTATTCGGACAGCGCTAGTTTTGCGGGTCTGCGGATCCCCCGTCCTCGGCAACGCTGAGGTGTCCGGCAACAGAACCCCGTCTCAAACCCGATCCGAACCCGACTCGCCAAAGATGCTGAGTTTTTGCAAAGTTTGGAAAGGGTGAACCCTAGACATGTTAGCCCCCCATTGAGTGCTCTGAACCCTGAACCCTAGACCCTAAACCCTAAACCCTAAACCCTGAACCCTGAACCCTAAACGCTAAACCCTAAACCCTAAGCCCTAAACCCTAGACTCTATCTTCAACTCCATCTCTTTCTCTCGCAGCCTCCCAGGGGCGGGCTCCCACGAGCGGCCATTCCCAAGGGCGCCTTGGCGAGGGCCTGCTGGAGGTTTACGGTTTAAGGTTTAGGGTTTAGGGTTTAATTAGGGTTTAGGGTTTAGGGTTTAGGGTTTAGGGTTTAGGGTTTAGGGTTTAGGGCTAGGGCCTAAACCTGATTTCCGGGGTATGACCCCTCAGCCCGAATACCCCAAGACCCCTCAACCCTACGCCCTGTTTTAACCCTAAACCCTAAACCTTCCACTCTCAGACTATAAAACCCTAAACCCTAAACCCTAAACCTAAACCCCTAAACCCTAAACCCTAAACCCTAAACCCTAAACCCTAAACCCTAAACCCTAAACTCTAAACCCTAAACCCTAAACCCAGACCTTCCTGTATCTAGAGACCATCGAAGATGGCCTTGCGCTCCTCGCCGGCGGCTCAATGGAAGCTGCTCGGAGCCTCTGCTCGCCTCTGAATTCGGGTTTAGGGTTTAGGGTTTAGGGTTTAGGGTTTAGGGTTCAGGGGAGTTGGTTGTGGGTACATTGGTCAAGAATCCGTGGGCGTTTACGGCACGAGCAGCAACTGTGATCGAAAATAAGGGTCCTAGGAGGTGCCCTCAACTCTGAGGAGTGTAGTGCAAAGAGACCCTGGGCCCTAAACCACGAAGCCCACAGGGCCCGCAAGGTGCACTAGCCTTTAGGGGTTAGGGTTTAGGGTTTGGGGTTTAGGGTTTAGGGTTTAGGGTAGCCCACCGGAACTGCCCAGGGCCGCGCCTGTGTGGTACTACAGCTCGTGCAACTTCCTGGCACGATAAAGACCGGGGCAAAAGGAGGGACCCTTCGAACCTTGCACGGGGAACCCCAAAACCCAAGAAGCTCACGTAGGGCTGTTACTATCCCATGCATGCGCGATTCTTGGGCAATGTGATTAGGACCTAACTACCTGGTAGTGTTTGGTTACGTGCAGTCCTTGACTTGCTTATTGACAGCTACTTGGAGGTTCACGGTACTTATTAACCTATTATAACTTTACGTACAACCAACTTATATGCCCGTTTAGTGCCCTAGTATGGTTAGAAGTACAGTTAGAAGTGCAGTTATAACTGGTTAAGAAGTACCTTGAGCCTCCAAGTACTGACAGCTTTCGTGTCTGTCGCCATCTTGGTATCAGCTCCCCAAGGGGGCCTGTCGCCCGCAGCAGGATGATCCTGGCGCAGCTCAGCAATCTTGTCATGCCCGGAGAACCCAATACCCCTTAGTTTATAAGGAATATACCTTGAAAACTTAAGCGATCCTTTAGTATGACTTAAGGCATGTTCCTTTATGCAAGGGGTATTGGACTCTTTCGGTGACTCATCTCAGCACTTTCAAGATGTCATCTTTCCATCGCTCGCACTTTGCCAGTGCACCCCACCTTGTCCTTCTTCGTTTTCCTTAGAGGTCTACAAAATAATCTGTCTCTCCACCTCAATGCAAGCCCACTGCTGGGCGGGCGTCTAGCTGCAATTGTGCTACGACTTAGACGTTGAAACCCCGCCACGGCGTGGCCCTGCTTGTGTCCAGACAGAAAAGGACGGAGACGATGCAAACTGCTGCCAAGCTTCTTTTTCGACTGTTTCTTCTTTTTGACGCCGTCCTTTCCTTTCAAGGTGCAATCTGTCCACGAAGCAAGTTCTCTGTCAAACTTCTGCGGCTCTTACCAGCCAGTCACACCAACCCTACCCTGAGAACCCCAGAGCCTACTTCTCCAACAGGATATTGCGATGACACATCGAAAGCTTGGAGGTGTCCCGCAGGCAGCAACAGGGTTTAGGGTTTAGGGTTTAGGGTTTAGGGTTTAGCATTTAGGGTTTCAAGGCTCTGAATTCTGAAGGCATCATGAACCATGGTGTCAAGCCCCACCACTGTTTCATCATAACCTCCCCGCCCCCCTTCCCAACCAACTGCAAGAAATCTGGCTTCGTGGCTTCTGAGCTGCATGTCAATAGTTCGTCTTCACCCGATTCCGGAAGGAGCTTGTAGTGCAGGGTGAAGATGACCCACGGCGTAGGGTCTTAAACAAAAAGCCAACGAAGACTTCAAAAGTCCAAATCACCGCAAACCCTAAACCCTGAAGCCTAAACCCTAAACCGCAGCTCTCTGTCAAGTCTCCCTCCCAACCAACAAAAGCTAGGACAGTTGTATAGATGGCTGCAAAGGCGCGCTGCCGCCGTACTTCTGCATAAAGCATCTGGAGCTCGGGGTCCTCACGTTCGGGATCGAGGGTTTCAGGTTTAGGGTTCATTTTCGGGTTTAGGGGTTTAGGGTCAGGGCGTGGGGGCTGTTTTGGTTGTTTAGGGCTGAAGAGGCTGCTTTCTGCTGTTTAAGGTTCTGAGATTACTCTCCCTGGTTCTCAACACACTGTGGGACGCCAGGGTCCCAAGTGCTCTAGATCCTTTTTGCTAACCGGCCGAAGGGCACCACCGGGCCACTTGAAATCCTACCCTCAACCCTAAGCTCGGGGTCTGCAGGGTAACTATGTGCTTCAGAACTGCCCCAAACAACAACCATCCCTGGATTGCCCTTTTTGTAAGGAAGAATGTACTTTTTCATTTGTTGGGGGGTCCGTATGCAAATATTTAAGGGTTGAGGACTTTGGTGCTTGTCAAAGGCATAGGGCTAGGGAGGCGTGAGCTTTGTCGGCAGCCAATGGTCCTAGGTCTTCGGGGTTAGGGGCTTAGGGGCTTAGGGGCTTAGGGACTTAGGGGCTTAGGGGCTTAGGGTCATAGGGGATGTGTTAAGCTGAGCGACTAGGGGCTGTAGGCCCTAAACCCTAAACCCTAAACCCTGGACCCTAAACCCTAAACCCTAAACCCTCCACAGATCTGGCGCAGCGTTTGTGCGAGCTTTGGCCTCCTCGAGCTCCTGCCGGATGTCCGCGAACTCCGCCAGTAGCCGGTCCTTTAGGGGTTTAGGGTTTGGGGTTTGGGGTTTGGGGTTTAGGGTTTGGGGTTTGGGGTTTGGGGTTGGGGTTTAGGGTTTGGGGTTTGGGGTTTGGGCTTCGGCTATCTTAACCTCCCAAATTACCTCACACAATACTCTACAAGCCCAAGATACGGGGTGTATGGTGTATAACTAGACCCAAGTGTAGCCTACGAATAAGTTGGGGACCCTTTGTCGTTCGAAGGGGCTTACAAGGAAACCCAAACCTTAAACAAAGGTAAGAAGGGCCTAGTCTGGGTCCTAGATAACATGGGAAACTCGTAGTTGCCGTACTTCAGGGGCCAGGGCTTTGCAAGTTCAAGATTCGGGTGAAGGGGATGCGGTTTAGGCAGGGATTGGGGGGGGGGGGGGCGGACTCAAGGTTTGGGAGGGTTTCGGGTCTAGAGTTCAGGGTTATTGGGCCTACTCCATATCCCCTAGAAACCTTTTTGTATCCTCATGACCCACCTTACTGGCCCTGCCTACGTCGCAAAAACGGAAGTAAGGGCCCTCCCAACGGGTATTCATCAACTGCGTTGCGGTCAATGGACGCTGGATCCGTACACCCTCACAGCTCAAACTCCAAACCCCCTAATTCGGTACCTTATATTCCTTATATACCTTATATATACCTTATATACCTTATATACCCCTAGATAAATCCTTCAAGGGAGAATTCAGAGGGTACCTCATTCCCTCATTCCCTAATTAAGAGCCAGCAAGTAGCCAAACTTGCGAACCCTGAAGAACGCAAAGCTGACAGTGCGGCTGCGTGGTCCATTCGGCTTCTCTGCTGGTGGATGATTGTCCGCTGGTTCTCAAAAGCCACCGACAGCAATGCCAGGAGGTCCTGAGGATGTCGGGATGTCATGCAGCCAGCAGAAAATTGCACGACCCTTCTGTCAGACCTACACCGCGACTGCAGCATTGCTAGCAGTTCAACCCCACACTTCACGAGAAGTATGCGATCAAACGTTCTTCAGTCAATGACAAGTGCAACAGCTCGCGCTACGGCCCGAGCTGAGGCGAGTATTGAAGTGTCTCTTGCTTGTGCAACTTGGCAAATCTCAAACCGAGCAGTCAGCATTCCAACCAGAGGGGACCAGCATGTTAGGAGTAGCCAAAACCACGAATCCTAAGCTCAACACCCAAACACCTAAGCCCAAAGGTCCAAGACACCAGAGTAGATGTGGGGTTTACGAAAATAGGGGACCCGGGAAGTAGACCCCCAAAGAGTAGGATTCCATTATAATAAGGACCCCAATAAGGTACCCCTAAGATCGTAGAGAATCATGTCGTCAGGTCATACGTGGAGGTTCATGGTACTTATTAGCCAATTACAACTGTACTTATAACCCACTGATAAGGCCCTTAAGTGGTCTAATATTGTCATAAGTACAGTTCTAAGTACAGCTATAGTTGGTTAATAAGCAACATCAACCTGCAAGTATAGTCCCTATACACCTAAGTAGCCCCTAAATAACCCCCAAATAACCCCTGAGTTCCCTTATAAGGGTCCCTCCCTCCGTTCCTGAACATAGATAACATAGGGTCCTTGTAGACCACGGAGTCGCTACTGCCCATGAATGCTGCCCTCGGATCGAGGGCGGACTGTGACAGCCTGGCGTATGGGCTTAAGCAGCTTGGAGATTTACATGTCAGGGGTACCCTAAACCCTAAATCCCAAACCCTAAACTCTATACCCTAAACCCTAAACCCTATACCCGAGACAAACCCTGGTATTTCCGACTTAGGGTTCGGGTTTGTACTGTCCCCGGCCCCGCACGAGTCAAAGTGTATGGTAGTGAGGATGGGTCGTTTGGGGGTTTAGGTGGGGGTTTGGGGATCAGTGTTGTGTGTTTGCTGTCAGGGTGGGGAGCCAGTGCCTAAACCCTAAGCCCTAAGCCCTAAGCCATAAACCCTAAACCCTCTGAGGGTGCAAGGAGCAAGGCATCGCAGACCTCGACAGATGACTTCCAGTCTAGTGACTGACAGTACCCTGGCCCCCCAAAGAAAGTTAACCTCTTCAATTTCGGTAGCATTGAATTATAGCCTAAACCCTAAAACCGTAAAACCCTAAAACCCTAAACCCTAAACCCTAAACCCCTGAAAAGGTGAAAGGGCTGTCGACTCAGCCAGGCTTTTGGGGCGGGCATTCTTCCACAATGCACTGCTGCCGCTTCTGGCCATCCCACCAACTATCGGGGGATTCCTGACTTCTAGACAGCACATTTCCCGATATTCGCAGCATACCCAAGTAGCAAGACGCCCGTGCACATGGACCCTGAGTCTTGAAAACCCTGGAGCCCTAAACCCCAAACCCAAACCCAAAACCCAATAAACCCCCAAAGCCCAAAACCCGAAAACCTAGATCCTAGCCCTAAACCCGAAACCCTAAACCCTAAACCCCCCAACCCCCCTGTTGAGGCCTCGTGCGTTGCACGACGCTTGGCCCAGTGGGGCCGGGCCGGATCGGTGGCCAAAGCGAGAGGAGCGGGCTCTCCCCTGGCTGGAAAAAGTACTGTATAGGATTTTGGGTTTGGGTTTGGGGTTTAGGGTTTAGGGTTTAGGGCTTAGGGCTTAGGGCTTAGGGTTTAGGGTTTAAGGTTTAAGGTGCCTGAGAGGGTTGCGAGTTCAGGGCCGTTTGGGGTTTAGGATGCTTTGGATTTCGCGCTTGGGGGGCTACAGTTTTGTGGATGGGCATTTCCTGCTCCAGCTGCAGGGTCGCAGTGCGAGCACAATCATTCCGGTAGTTCACAGCTGCGCAGCCATAAACCCTAAACCCTAAACCCTAAACCCTAAAACCTAGACGCTAAGAATTGGAGAACCCTGCATTCTGTGCCTCACATCGAACAAGACATGCCCCTTTTTCTTACATGGCCAAGCCCATACAACATAGCCCTCATCCAAAACCCTTGAAGTCGGCAAACACCATGCAAGCCAGTCATCCTAGATTGGGGTTTAGGGTTCAGGGTTTAGGGTTTTAGGGTTTAGGGTCCAATCATCCTAGATTATCGGACATCTGGGTTTGAGGGTTTCGGAACACACTGAGTTTACATGCAGATCAGAACGCGTGGTGGTGGCCTGAGAACCGGTGTCGGCCAATGATGCCCTGCCACGAGCGCAATATGCTCAGCGCACTCGTAGGCTCTTAGTGTATAGGGCTTGGCGCTTCCAATGGTGTTTGGGTTCGGGTTGTAGGGTACGTATCCTCAGTTTCCCAACACATCGCAACACCAGTCGGCGCCAACAAATTCCAGCGCTTCCTGCCACGACTCTGTCCGTCTTTGGTGTTTATAGGCTTAGGCTTAGGGTTTTAGGAATTAGGGTTCAGGGTTGAACTGAGAAGGTCTGAGTCTCATGGAATCTGCGGCTGTCTTTCTGACTGGGCCCTACGATCATGATGATGATGGTGATCACCGTAAGAAGCAGCAGCCACAGCGTAGTCACTATCAAAACCGCATTCTGGATCGCAATCATGAACTGGTGTCCTACCTGTCATATCCATGTCAGCATCACAACAGGCCTCACAATGACAATGCCAAGCCATGTCAGTCTGGCAGTAGTTACTCCTCAAAAGTAACTTCAGAAACAACCGAAAACCTAAACCCTACTCCCTAGTCCCTAGACCCCCTAAGCCCTATAGCCCTCCACCGCCAGTATCCTAAATCCCTGAACCTGTCTCAGGGAGGTTTGGGGCCAGTTGAGCTGCGGATTTTTGCGATATCCCACGCATGCCTGAACCCAGGGAACCCCCAAAAACCCCATGCTTACTGAACATTCCTTAAATCACGCACGCTGAGGTTCCGAACAAAACCCCAAACCCTGAACCCTAAACCCCAAACCCTAGACTCCTAGTCCACAACCCTACGAACCCTAAACCCTCAGGTTGGTCGCTTCAACCCTCTGAAACATATTGCATAGGGTTTTCGGGTTGAGGGCCTTATCCTCTTAAGCCAGGGTTTAGGGTTTGGGGTTTAGGGTTTAGGGTTTGGGGTTTAGGGTTTAGGGTTTAGGGATTTAAGCCCTAAACCCGAAACCCTAAACGGGGGGCCGGCGGCAAGGCCTGACAGGCCGCACGTCCCGACTCGAGGAGGACGAAGTGCCCCAAAAGGAGGAGCGACTTCCTCAGGGCTTCCAGAGGTTGAAAGATATGTTTGGGGGCTTTTGCGTTTTTAAGGTTTTTGAAAGTTTAATTCAGGGTTTAAGGGCATAGGGCTTTGGGATTAACACTTTAAGGTTTGTAGGGTCCTATAGGGTTTGAAGTTGAAAGGCTTCTGGAAGGTTTGAGGTTTGGGGTCCGGAGGCCCTCAGCGACGTGTTGGGTGTTCGGGGGTGGAAACCTCCCATCTCCCCTTAAAAAGATGGGCGGCTGAGGCCTGTCGAACCCTAAACCCTAAATCCTAAACCCTAAACCCTAAATTTAAACCCTAAACCCTGTGGGCTTTGGCAGTCGCCGGCTGCGGGCGACAGACCCCTAGGAGCCTGCTTGACATCTTGTGGAGGGTTTAGGGCCACCGGATGAGAGCCTTGAAGGCAGCATTCTACATCTATATTTGTTGCTCGCTATGTTATACTACATGTATATTCTACTTAGTATGTAGTGTAGGATATATATATATGTAATTATATATGTATATATATATATGTAAAAACAGAAAAAATCAATATGCAATTCAAGGCGCCATTGGTGTACCATCCGTCATCGGCTGCCATGCGACCTCAGATGTCGTTGCAGGGCTCATGCCAAAGAGGGAACCCCAAACCCCAATTCCAAGAAGCCCTTGAACAAATCCAATTCCCACCCCCTCAGAACCCCCCCCCCCCCCCGCCCCCCTCCACCTCCAAGTCAACGGCCCCGAGCTTCCGTGAAGATGCGAGCATTCCGTGGTCTGGGGCCTCTTTCCCTGAACCCCGAAGCCCCCTTACATACCATAGGGCTGCTACCCCCCTACATATGTTGGTAAATACCCAAGACCCGAACAGGTCTTTTAAACCTAGGCGGGCCCCTGCAGTTCTCTGGGATGGCCTTTAAACACTTTGAAACATATTCGTGTATAACTAGGGTCCCTTCTGAACCCAAATAAGGAAAAGTACAAACTATCCCAAAAGCCAAAGCGGTTCTACCCTAACCCTAAACCCTAAACCCTAAACTCTAAACCCTAAACCCTAAACCCTAGACCCTAAACCCTAGACCCTAAACCCCAGAACCAGAAGGGAGATGTGCCCAGCGGCGGCAAGGTTTGGGCGGTCTCGCAGCCCATTGTTCCGTTCAAACACCGGTTCTCGGGCCGATATGCACCATGCCCAAATGCTCGGGTTAGGGGCGGGGGGTAGTTTAGTGTTTTGGGGTGGTCTTAGTTTTTGTCGGTTTAGGATGGGGTTCAGGGCTGGTGGTTTCCGGCTTGGGGGGCTTAGGGTCCCCAACACGCCTGCGTGTGGCTTCGGGATGGTGGTTCATGGAGCTTAAACCCCCTAAATCCTAGACCCGAAACCCTTAAACCCATGTCCCAGGGGCAGGAAGCACTCAACATCGGAAGGTTCTCAAGCCCTAAACACAAACCCTAAACCCCAAGCCGTAACCTCTAAACCTTGTTACTAAACACCGGGCTAGTGGGGTTCGGAAATGGAAAACTCTGGACCCTCAGAACCAGAAAAAAACAACCCTCTAAACCCTAGAGTCCCTAAACCCTAAGTTACTAAGGAAACGCTACGAACCCTACAAACCCGATAGACCCTCGGCTTGCCAAACTGTGCCTCGGCAGGCAACACCTGAGCATCGATTCAGGCATCTCTTGCTAGCCTGAAGTTGCTGTTAAGCATATGATTAGGGTTTGGGTTGAGGGTTGAGGAATTTGGTTGAGGATTTAGAAATTTTCCATTTGTGCAATCCTATGCTGCCTACACTTTCACACCAAAGCCAAAACCCGAGCCAAAGCCCCAACACCTTAAACCGACAACACGTAGGCTGCAAAGCGACAGCAAAGGCTACAGGCCCATACTCAGCACTCGTCATGAAGCTGTGTTCGGCCCTGTCCTCGTTCGAATACGCGTCCCGGGCACGTTCCTTACTCGAAATCGTGCTCCCGCCTCATATCCTGTCCACTTTTTGAGGCTTGCCTCGTTGCGTGTCGCGAAAACATGCGCGTCGTGCCTCTAGTCACAGGTGCAATGCAAAGCGATGCTGATGCGGCGCCTGCAGCCACAGGCAGCTCTTCGTGCAGATAGTGGGTCTGTTGAACTTTCGTGGCAGCTCATGCAGTTCAACGTCCACCCGCTTTTGTTTTCTATCTTCCAAGCCTTGGCGCACGCTGGTGTGAACCCAGCAGGCTTATGTGGTGATTCATGGAACTGTGTAAGGATGAGTCAAATCAGGTGGGCCTGTCAAGAAGTGTCACTCACTGGCGACGCAGGGTTTCATGTACAGCTGCTGTTCGCGGTTTGGTTTTGTTCCACGCAGCTGAGTCCGTACTGCATACTGCGCAGATTTCTGCTCCAGAGATCGTCGGCTGAGGACGGCTCTTGATATGTCTCTCCAAGGACGCCGGTGCAACCTGTTAGGCGTCGACGTACACTGGACGCACCGACGGAAAGTACATCAATATGATCATTCATATTGCTGGCAGCCATAAGCCCCGGCGAGAACTCCCGGCACGCCGAGGTGTCAAGGCCTGCATTTCTAAAAAGACTTGACGCGATAAACCCTTGAAGGAGTTGGCTTTGGCGGCTGGCCTGCCTAGGACGGTGCAGGATGAGATATTCGATGGAGAGAAGGGAGGGGCTCGTTTGCTCTCTTCGTGCATGACTCTTCAGCCGAATTATTCGCGACTCGGCAAACCCTAAGCCCTAAACCCTATCAACCATCAACCCTAAACCCTAAACCCTTATAAGCCCTAAGCCCTAAGCCCTAAGCCCTAAGCCCTAAGCCCTAAGCCCTAAACCCTTAACCCTTAACCCTTATAAGCCCTAAGCCCTAAGCCCTTTAGGCCCTAAACCCTAAACCCCACGAGCCGCGCCTTGTCTGCGGTCGGCCGCTGAGCGAAGATCTTCCGCAGCCCGGCTGCTCTGCAGCAGAGTCGGGCCCGGCCCTGAAGGGGAAAAGGAGGCCCAACAAGGGTTCAGGGTTTAGGGTTTAGGGTTTAGGGTTTAGGGTTTAGGGTTTAGGGTTCAGGGTTCAGGGTTTAGGGGTTTAGGGTTTAGGGTTTAGGGTTTACGGTTTAGATTGCGAAAGGTGTTTCTAAATAAGCTTTGAGTCCCTTGTGACAGTTTTTTCTTTTCGGGCTTTAGGGTCGTAGGATAGGGCCTTAGGAATTCAGGATCTTATAGAGTTCAAGGCTTCATTGGAGTCTTACTGTTGGGGATTAAAGGTTGAAGCTTCTTCCAAGCTAAGGGCTGCTTTCTATGAGCCTGAGTGCTCAAAATCATATCTGTGTCTTGGGGGATGCCGCATGTCAGGCAAAGATAACCCAGCATACCTAAAGCCTAAACCCTAAACCCTAAACCGAAGCAAGAAGGAAGGGCTATTCCGTGCGATCCGAGCCCTGGAACCCTCAACCCTCCAACCTCCCACCAAGGGTCTAAAGGAGGGACCCTTATATGCGCTCGCGTTCCGCGCAATCGACCCCGCCCCCTCAAACCCTAAACCCTTAAACCCCCATTTGGGTTTGAAGGCTCGGAACCTAAACCCTAACCCTTCCCCTCGACTCAACCCTAAACCCTAAGCCCAACAGCAATAACTACAGGGGAGGGGGCGCAAAAACAACAAGGGAGGGGGGTTGAACCACAGGGAGTGGCGGGTGGATACCATGCAGGACGGGGGTTGAACCACAGGGGAGGGGGGGGGGGGGAGAGGACAGAGCGGCAATAATGCAATAATTCCAGGGGGGGGGGGGGGGGATACCATGGGGGTTACCTTCGGGGTTATTTCAGGGTTATTTGGGGGCTACTTAGGTATACAGGGACTGTATATAGAGGGGTTATATAGGGGAATAAAATTATACCCCTTAAGTCAACCCTCAAACCGAAACCCTAAGCTTGCAGCCATGAGCTCCTCAACTTAACGCAATCCACCCCTACCAACTGTGAGTTCAGAGATCATGGAAGCCATAGCCTACAACCCCCTAAACCCTAAACTCTGAACCGCTTGAACTACTGTTAATGAGTCTTAGTGTTAAATTCCACGTTGGGGTACTCTAGGACTGCCCTAAAACTACTATTTGCTGCTTCTAAGAACCGTCCAAAAATTAAGAAATCTCCACTGCCCTTATAAGGAAGAACCGTTCATAGACAGCGCTCGATGCTAATGGCATTAGCCCACAAAATTCACGACCCAAAACCCTAAAGCCACAATTTCCTGGGCTGCCCGAGCCGGCAGACCCAGCGCTGGAGCAACCAACTCCGCCGACTTCCCGCGCACGGCCGCAGAGCGCAAGAGGTCCTGGCGAAAATCTAGAAAACGCTGCAGCTTAAGGTTGAGGGTCTAGGGTTTAGGGTTTAGGGTTTAGGGTTTAGGGTTTAGGGTTTAGGGTCTAAGGTTTAAGGTTTAGGGTGTAGGGTACTGGGCCAGAGATGCTCTTCTCTGTGCTTTTGAGGTTTCAGGGAGTTCAGGGTATCGAAGTCGTACCGCGAAGAGAACAACTCAACCAATGCAACCCCTTGCGAGTTGGTCTACTCGAGTTGAAAAGTTGGCAAGAAGCCTGAATCCGGTAGCACTTAAGTACTGGGGCAGCCGAAAGCAACCAAAACACTTGGGCGATCCAGGCTTGACTGTGGCAGCTAAACATATGTCCGTGTGTGTAGCAGATAAGAAAACATGTACTCATGTGTGTGTGTGGGTGTTTGCTTGCACGTCTCTCGTGGCTCTCACTCACTCACTCACACACTCACTCTCTCTCTCTCTCTCTGTCTCTCTCTCTCTCTCTTTCTATGCATATGTATATATGTGTAGATGCGTGCGTGTCTGTATGGCTACTACTATTGTGATTTTCCCAGTAGATGTGCAGCAGTAGACCAGGGATGGGGGAGTTTGGGGGAGTCGCAGCTGAGGATTCCAGCATTTGACCCAGCTTGTGATAGTCTGGGGACGAGGGTGCAGAGAGCTTTCTTGCAGACTCGGGCGTCAAGTTTTTTGGACTCTAGGAGAAGGTTCGGTGCGCCCCTGAGGGTGAATCATGTTGGTCAAAAGCTCCAAGTTCTCGTGCCACACGCTTCATGGACAGGCTGCATGATGCTGGTGGGCGGAGCTTTGAGGGAAGTAGCCTATCCCTTCTTGCTTATGGAAATGGCCTCTTCTTTGTCTGCTCGCCTATGGTTAGGTCCCAAGATTGCTAAGGCCTGAAGGGCTGCTTCTTCGGAAAGTACCTCGCCCATACCCTTTCCAGGAGGTCCCTCAGTGAACCCAACACATCTCCATGTTTGGCCTGTCCAGACGCTGTTGCCGAAGGCATTTCCGATGTTTTGGTGGATACATGCTGTGTGGCTACTTCGTACGAGTAGACCCTGATGACCCGGCACTGAATTCGACAGCACGCTGCCTGGATTTCGCTGCGGCAGGTCACTTGGACCTTGCTCGACGCCATCATGCTCCCATGCTAAACCCTAAACCCTAAACCCTAAACCCTAAACCCTAAACCCTAAACCCTAAACCCTGAACCAAGTACGGTTTAGGATTAGCTTTGGAGAAGCCCTGGGCTGACTTGG